CTACAGCCACCCCCCCACAGCCAGCCAACCTTATGTTGTCCCTCCCTGCCCCCCACCAGCCAACCTCGTGCAGCCCCTCCCTCTGACCGACCAACCTCCTGCAGCCCTGATGGGGACTGGGCCAGATGGCCCCAGTTGGCCCTGTTTGCCGGCCGGGCCAAGGAAACCCACTTGTGCATGTTTTTGTGCACTGGGCCTCTAGTATTTAATAATGATATATCTGATAAGGTGTTAATATCCAAACTATATAAAATACTCATGTAAATCAGCAAAAGGAAGAGAAACAATCCAATTAAAAATGTGCAGATAACCTGAATAGACATTTCTCCAAAGAGGACATACAAATGGTCAAGAGACATATGAAAAACTGCTCAAAGTCACTATTATCGAAGAAATTCAAATTAAAACCACAATGAGCTATAATCTCACACCTGTCAGAGTAGCTATCATAAAAAGAATCAACAAAAAATAATTGCTGGCGAGAATGCAGAGAAAACAGAACACTAGTTCACTGTAGATTGGTCGGAATGCAGATTGGTGCCACTAACATGGAAAACAGTATGGAGTTTCCTCAAGTAATTAAAAATGGAATTTCCATTAGACTCAGTGATCCTACTCCTAGTAATACCTTCTAAAATCCCCTAAACATCTATCAGAAAAAATATATGCACCCTTATGTTCATAGCAGTGTTATTTACAATAGCTAAGATTTGAAAACAGCCTAAGTGCTCATCAGTAGATGAATGGATTAAAAAAAGCTGTGGGACATTTTCACAATGGAAAACTATGCAGCTATAAAAAAAATAGGTATCTCTTATTCTTTAGGACAGCATGGATGGACCTGGAAACTATTATGCTAAGTGAAATAAGCCAATCTGAGAAAGGCAAATATCATGTAATCTCACTTAACTATTTGTGGAATCTAATGAACAAAATTAATTGATCAACAAAATAAGACCTGAAGCTTAGAAGCAAGGAACAGACTGATATACCTTTATGTGGGGTTGCGGGACCAGAAGAGATAAATCAAAGAACTTATATACTTACTAGAAGTCCGATGCATAAAATTCATGCACGGAGGGGGGTGTGTCCCTCAGTCCAGCCTGCAACCTCTCCAATCTGGTACCCCTTGGGGGACCAGGCCTAAACCGGCAGTCGGACATCCCTCTCACAATCCGGGACTGCTGGCTCCTAACCACTTGCCTGCCTGCCTGCCTGTTTACCCCTTGGGCATATGATTTCAGCCTGATTGCAGCACCACTAACCCCAGATATCTTTGTGCGGTGCTATGATGGTAAAACCTTAGGGACAACCGGATCGCTCTAGCCCCACCCCCAGACTCTTGCCCATAAGAGAACCACAAAAGGTGGTGAGACAAATATATATTTTTTTTAAATATATATTTTTACAGAGAGGAAGGGAGAGGGATAGAGAGTTAGAAACATCCTCTTACTGGGGATGTGCTTGCAACCAAGGTACATGCCCTTGACCGGAATCGAACCCGGAACCCTTCAGTCTGCAAGCTGACGCTCTATCCATTGAGCCAAACCGGTTAGGGCTAAGTATATTTTTTAATTAAAATTAAATTAAGGAGGGTAAAAAAGAACCTTATCTTCATCCTACCTGGGTTCTTATTTAATTATATATATATTTTTAATCTTTATTAGTGAAAGTATTACACATATCCCCTTTTTCGCCATTGATCCTTTCTTGCCTGCCCCTGCTCCCTGACTCAAGCCTTCACCACCCTATTGTCTATGTCCATGGGTTATGCATATATGCATACAAGTTCTTTGGTTGATCTCTTCCCCCACCCATCCCACATTCCCTTTGAGATTAGACAGTGTGTTCTATGCCTCTATGTCTCTGAACCAATTTTGTTCATCAGTTTATTTTGGTCATTAGATTCCACATATGAGTGAGATCATGTGATACATGACTTTCTCTTACTGACTTATTTCACTTAGCATAATACTCTCCAGGTCCCTCCTGTCTCAAAGGGTAAGAAATCCTTCTTTTTTACTGCTGCATAGTGTAAATGGTGTAAATGTACCACAGCCTTTTTTATTTATTCATCTAGTAATGGCCACTTGCACTGTTTCCAGATCCTAGCAATTGTAAATTGTGTTGCTATGAACATCATGATGCATACATCCTACCTAGGTTCGTCCACATGATTGTGATGCACACTACAGTTGGAGAACCTTTGAGAGGTAGAATTCAGGTGAAATTTGAAGCTGTAGTCCAGCTACATTGAAAGTTTTGGGAAAGCAAATTAACACCTTATGAAATCAGAAAATATTTTACCATGACTCACATTTTATCCAAAATACTAATGTGTGTGTATTTACACACACACGTGCGCGCGTGTGCACACACACACACACACACACACACTTCTAAAATATATAAAAAGAAATTAACCAAGATTGTTTGAGTAAAACAGCAGGTGGACTTTTTGTCATACACAGTCTTAGGATTCATCAAATTCTTTGTCAGGGATAACATTTATGGTATCAAGTTCAGTCCTATGTGTTTGAAAATTACTTTCTAATATTCTTCACCAGGTAAAAATATCCAGAGTTTCTCTCTTCCAACTCTATGTGTAGAATTGTTAGTCTGCACTACAATTTTACTTCTGATTTAAAACATATGCATGTATGCCATTGTTTTGGAATTGCTTCATTTAACAATCTCACAATAACATCACTCATTTATAAGCAAATTTGTATGAGCTTTATTTGAGATATAGTCTAAGATTTCATTCCAAATGTCCACCAGAACCTCATTCTGAGGTAGCCTTTCCACAAGGCAATTTTACATATGGGTCAAGTCAACATTCTAGAGTGGTTGCAGTATATCTTTTCTGAGGTGTTTAGTAACAATCAATGATATTTTGAAGAGTTAAGATTATAATATATAAAAGCCTTAGCGGCCGTTAAGACCAGTTGACCAAACGACCCATTGACAGGTCAGTATGATGTGCGCTGACCACCAGGGGGCAGACACCCAACACAGGAGCTTCCCCCTTTTGGTCACTGTGCTCCCACAGCCAACCTCCTGTGGCTGGACAACCTCCAGTGGTCCTTTCCCCTGGCTGGCCGACCCCAATCGGCCCTGATCGGAACTGGGCAAGGTGGCCCCAATTGGCCCAGATTGCCAGCCAGGCTGAGGGGCCTCACCTGTGCACAAATTCGTGCACCAGGACTCTAGTCTGTCCTAAAGGCAGATAATAGATAAACAGCAATTGGGCCTTTGTTCCCTAGATTAAATGTTCAGATCCTGCATATAAGTTATCAGTACAACTTTTTAATAGTGAGTTTCTCAACTATTTGATTCACAGCCAATTCTAAGTTCACAGCAAGTTAGCTTTTTGTAGAAAATTCCAATTTCTCCCCATACCAAATTATATTTAATTCTCACTTGCCATAATTTTGAAGAAACAATTCCTACCTGTAACTTTCAATTCAGTTGTTCGTCTTACAAGTTTTCCTTCATATTTAAGTTCACAAGTGTAATTTCCTCCATCTTCTTCTTGAACTTCCTGGATTAGAAGAGCATTTCCTTTCTGTATTATTATGCTTCTCCACATTTTTGGGTTGCATTCCTATAGAGAAAATGTTTTCAAGTAAGAGGAAAAAATATTCACATCATTAAGTCTTAGTACTGACAAGTTTGTATTTTCACTTTTTGTACTTTTCTCTTTAGTTTTCAAAATATGTAACTAAACAGTTAAGTAAGTGACCAGAAAACATCACAACGTGTCCAATTCCCATATCACAACTATCATTCTAAGAGCCATTTTAAAGGTCTGATCCCAAGAGCAAAACATTTCATTCTGCTCAAATATGAAATAATAAAGCTCCCCAAGTGCAAAAATTGTATAGCAGAACCTCAAAAGTCACTAAATGTCATCATAATGCCTTGATTCTTTCTATTTTATAGGGATACTAGAGACCCAATGCACGAAATTCATGCATGGGGGATATCCCTCAGCCCGGTGTGCACCCTCTCCAATCTAGGACCCCTCAGGGGATCAGGCCTAAACTGACAGTCTGACATCCCTCTCACAATCTGGGACTGCTGGCTCCTAACTGCTGGCCTGCCTGCCTGCCTGCCTGCCTGATTGACCCTAACTGCTTCTTCCTGCTAGCCTGATCAACCCTTAATGACTCCCCTGCCAGCCCGATGGCCCCCAATTGCCCACCCATGCTGGCCTGATGGCCCCCAGCTCCCCTTCTTCACCAGCCTGATGGCCCCCAACTGCCCTCCCCTGCCAGCCATCTTGTGGTGGCCATCTTGTGACAACATGATGGAAGCCATCTTGTGGTGGCCATCTTGTGATGACATGAGGGCATCACGCAAGGACCACCTAGGCTTTTATTAGTATAAAAGATTTGGGGTTGTTTTGAAAGCCCAAATTTCAGAGAGGAAGTGAGAAGGAGTGAGAGATAGAAACATCAATGATGAGACATAATCATTGATTGGCTGGCTCCTGCATTCCCCACACTGGGGATCAACCCTACAACCTGGGCATGTGCCCTGACTGGGAATCGAACCATGACCTCTTGGTTTATCGATTGATGCTCAACCACTGAGCCATGCTGGCTGGGCAAGATTTGGTTTTAAAGTCAATTATTCTACTCTCCTGATGGGAATATGAAGGAGTCTTGTTACTGGGATTGAACTTCCCTAAAAAGGAATGTTTAACTCTTTTCCAGAAAGTGACAAGGATATAGCAATAGCTAAATATGTAAGAATATTCAATCAGGTGGCTTTGTCATTTGGGGATTTTCTCAGTCTACTTTTTAGATATTATTCCAGTTTGTTTGCCATTCATCTCAAATGTTCAACCAAAATTGTAACTAAAAACTGTAAAAATATAAATGGAGGTGTAGGAGATGGCTGTGAGAGTGCTAAATAATCAAGCAATGCATTTTATCATATCCATTCTGAATCTCTCAGTTAAGGAAATAAAATTGATGGTGAGGCAAATTTTGTGAATAATAGTTGAGAGCACTTTCCACTGTCCAAACTATGGTATAAAAAATATCCTCACCTTAGCTGTTTTGGCTCAGTGGGTAGAGCGTTGGTCTGTGGACTGAAGGGTCCGGGTTCGATTCTGGTCAAAGGCACATTCCCAGGTTGCAGGCTCAATCCCCAGTAGGGGGCAGCCACTCAATGATTCTCTCTCATCATTGATGTTTCTCTCTCTCTCTCTCCCTTTCCCTTCCTCTTTAAAATCAATAAAAAATATATTAGAAAAAAAAAATCCTCTCTACTTTCCCTTACCCACACCCACACCCTCCTCACACATACTTTTAAAATTAATGTAAAGATAGAATCAGTACTGACACTCTATCTGCAGCTCTGCATGTGTGTATGTGTCTTTGTGTATGTGTATAAATGATTTGGGAGAGCGAATACTGAGTACCCATTTATTAATATTTGCTTTTTTTGTTTTTTTTTTACTGTAACTTTTTTTTTTCTTTTATGATAGCAGGAATTTTTACAACAAAATATAAAAACCAGCACTTAAGTTCACAGGTATAATATTTAGGAGTTATGCTTGCTTTACGACCAATACAACTACCCACACATATTGTCAGAGAGTAAATAAAAGTAATATTATCTAGGGCAATCCAGACAGAAGACTGCTTCATTCCCTAGGATCTTTCCAAAGAACAGTTAAGGGTCTGTCTGAAATTATATTATACACACTGTCTGGCGAGGTTTATCACCTATATGAGATTGGCTTCTGCGTTAAACCTTAGATATAAGGTTTCTGGGAAAATGAAGAAGAAAGACTGAACAGAAAGAAAAAAAGATAGCCCAGTTGCCATTATCATCATACAATAATAATCCACAATTATTTTCGCATTGCTTCCAACTCTGGTAGCCTCGGATTTCTAAAGAATAATTTTGAAGGTCATTAAACAAAAACATTGCCCCTCTGGGCATTTTGAGAGAAAAGGAAAATGAAAACTAAGCTGCTTCATTTTCACATAGTGGTGGTGAAGGCAGACAAATGAGCCCACACACTCATTTTAATCAAATACAAATGGCATTGTTTTCTAATGTCATTTTTCAGGGAAAGTTCATATGCAATTAGCTCTAACCAGTTTTCATTTTCATTTTCCCTGCACACTGATTTGTTTTTTCCTAGGAAGTAAATCTAAAGCATGTATAGAAATTAGAAAATAACTCATGATGAAGAATATATATACTAAAATGATAGACAAATATGTAAATTGACTGTACCTCTGTGATGTCCCACAGCCAATCAGGAGGGAATATGCAAATTAGTGGGGCAAAGATGGCTGAGGTCACAGAGCCAGCCAGAGAGGGCAGGAGGCTTGGGTCACCCCTGGTGATGGAGGAAGCCAAGCTTCCTGCCTTCCTGGGCTAGCTGCTGAAGGAGGGGCTTGTGGGCAGTGGCCACGGAGCAGGCCGAAGACAACGGGAGGCTTGGGTCGCCCGGGCTGGCCGCTGAGGGAGGGGCCTGAAAACAGCCCTCAGACCCTCACCCAGGCTGGCCATGCTGCCATCAGGGAGAGGGTCCCTGGGGAACATGG